TACAAAACAGTGATCCTAGATGAAGATATGTGCATCTCTGACAGTAAAGGCCCGACTTCTTCAGGGTATTACTGTTATTACTACCTTTATGATCACAATTTCTTCACTCCGTTTCAAGGCTTATCCTTTTCAAGGCTTATCCTTTTCATCCAGCAATAATTTTATATATCTTGTTTCTGCTCATTCATACAGCCGACCACATGACCATAGGGCAAATAATACCTATGGAAACTCAGAAATGACAAAACCCGAGGGTATTTAGCTGAAAACAAGTTCTCTCTATCACGTACTGTCCCTAAAATAGAGTGTAAGTCTGGAAAAATGAATCAAAAAGAAAATACATGTTAGAAAGAGTTATTTGTGAAAGTCTTTCTAGTAAAGGAAAGGAGCGAGGATGAGGTTTCTCAAGTGTGGTCTAGACATCAAAGTGTTTTAAAAGGACCAGATCATGGTATGAGAAATTTATCCAGGTATGAGAAATTCCAAAACTGTAGGCCCTCCCCAGGCTAGCTGTCATGGCTTTGAAGACATGTAGATCACACCCACATTTGCTCATATCCACAGTGACCTCCTGGTTCCAGATGTAGCATTGGCATGGTATGGCTTTCCAGATCCTCAGAACTGCATGTAAAATCTGCCAATGACCAAAAAGACAACGAAAAACAGTGGGTTTGATTGATGCTTACATCAGGTTTTTTTCTTTGAGATGGAGTGTCACTCTGTCACCCAGGCTGAAGTGCAGTGGCATGATCTCGGCTCACTGAAACCTATGCTTCCTGAGTTCAAGCAATTCTCCTGCCTCAGCCTCCTGAGTAGCTGGGATTACAGGTGCCCACCATGGTGCTGGACTAATTTTTGTATTTGTATTAGAAACAGATTTTCACCAAGTTGGCCAGGCTGGTCTCAAACTCCTGTCCTCAAATAATCCACCTGCCTCGCCCTCCCAAACTGCATATGTTTAATCAGTCTTGCATCCCAGGGATAAAGCTGACTCGATCATGGTGGATGAGCTTTTTGCTGTGCTGCTGGATTCCATTGGCCCTATCTCACCACTTCCATTCAACGTAGTATTGGAAGTTCTGGCCAGGGCAATCAGGCAAGAGAAAGAAATAAAGTATATTCAAATAAAAAGAAAGAAAGTCAAATTGTCTCTGTTTGCAGATGACATAATTCTATATATTTTTTTTTTAATTTTTTATTGGATTATAGGTTTTGGGGTACATGAGCAGAGCATGCAAGACAGTTGCGTAGGTACACACATGGCAGTGTGCTTTGCTTTTCTTCTCCCCTTCACCCCAATATCCATGATGAACATAGATGCAAAAATCTTCAATAAAATATTGACATAATTCTATATTTAGAAAACCCCATCATCTCAGCCCAAAATCTCCTTTGCTGATAAGAAAAGTCTCAGGATACAAAATCAATGTGCAAAAATCACAAGCATTCATATACACCAATAATAGACAAACAGAGAGCCAAATCATGATTGAACGCCCATTCACAATTACAACAAAGAGCATAAAATACCTAGGAACACAACTTACGAGGATGTAAAGGACCTCTTCAAGAAGAACTACAAACCACTGTCAAGGAAATTAGAGAGGACACAAACAAATGGAAAAACATTCCATGCTTATGAATAAGAAGAATCAATATCACGAAAATAGCCATACTGCCCAAAATAATTTATAGATGCAATGCTATCCCCATCAAGCTACCATTGATCTTCTTCACATGATTAGAAAAAAACTACTTTAAATTTCATATGGAACCAAAAAAGACCGTGTATAGCCAAGACAATCCTAAGCAAAAATAGCAAAGTTGGAAGCATCATGCTACCTGACTTCAAACTACACTAAAAGGCTACAGTAACCAAAACAGCATAGTACTAGTACCAAAACAGATATATAACCAATGGAACAGAACTGAGGCCTCAGATATTATGCCACACATCTACAACCATCTGATCTTTGACAAACCTGACAAAAACAAGCAATGGGGAAAGAATTCCTTATTTAATAAATGGTGTTGGGAAAACTGATAGCCATATACAGAAAGCTGAAACTAAACCACATTCTTTAAACCTTATACAAAAATTAACTCAAAATGAATTAAAAACTTAAATGTAAGACTCAAAACCATAAAAACCCTAGAAGAAAACCTAGGCAATACCATTCAGAACATAGACACAGGCAAGACTTCATGACTGAAACACCAAAAGCAATGGCAACAAAAGACAAAATTGACAAATAGGATCTAATTAAACTAATGAACTTCTGCACAGCAAAAGAAACTATCATCAGAGTGAACAGGCAACCTACAGAATGGGAGAAAATGTTTGCAATCTATCCATCCAACAAAGGGCTAATATCCAGAATCTACAAAGAGCTTAAACACATTTACAAGAGGAAAACAAACAACCCCATCAAAAAGTGAGCAAGGGATATGAACAGACACTTCTCAAAAGAAGATATTTATGCAGCCAACAAACATATGAAAAAAAAAGCTCATCATTAGATCATTGGAGAAATGCAAATCAAAACCACAATGAGATATCATCTCATTCCAGTTAGAATGGCTGTCATTAAAAAGTCAGAAAATAACAGACGCTGAAGAGGATGTGGAGAAATAGGAACAATTTTACACTGTTGGTGAGAGTGTAAATTAGTTCAACCATTGTGGAAGACAGTGTGGTGATTTCTCAAGGATCTAGAACCAGAAATACCATTTGACCCAGCTGGGTTATATACTCAAAGGATTATAAATCATTCTGCAATAAAGACACCTGCACATGTATGTTTATTGCAGCACTGTTCACAATAGAAAAGACTTGGAACCAACCAAAATGCCCATAAATGATAGACTGGATAAAGAAACTATGACACATATACAGCATGGAATACAATGCAACCATAAAAAGGATGAGTTCATGTTCTTTTCAGGGACATGGATGAAGTTGGAAACCATCAATCTCAGCAAACTAACACAGTAACAGAAAGCCAAACACCACATGTTCTCACTCATAAGTGGGAGTTGAACAATGAGAACACATAGACACAGGGAGGGAAATGTAACACACTGGGACCCATCAGGAGGTATGGGACTAGGGGAGGAATAGCATTAGGAGAAATACCTAATGTAGATGATGGATTAATGGGTGCAGCAAACCACCATGGTACATGTATACCCATTCACAAATCTGCACATTCTGCACACGTATCCCAGAACTTAAATATATATACAGTGTGTGTGTGTGTGTGTGTGTGTGTATGATACTAGTCTTTTCCTTCCTTCAGGTCATCAGCATTCCAGTGGTAGATGGCCATGATGGAAATACTTGACATTTGAGAGTGAGCATAATTTATTTAATTAGAATTCGCTATTGGAGAACAGGCTTCAAGTAGAACTGAATTCTAAAAAAAAATCAGAAGTACAGGATCAAGAGGCTGACAGATTCAGTGTCTGGTGAAGCTGCCTAGTGGAGCCAGAAAAGGCAAAGGAGATAAACTGAATGATGTGTCTGCACATGGCCACAGAGATGGAAGGGCCAGGCAGCTCTCTGAAACCTTCTATATAAAGCCATTAATCCCATTCGTTGAGGGCAAAGTCCATGACTTAATAACTTCCGAAGGGGCTCTACCTTTTAATATCAACTTAGGCTTTAAATTCTAACATAATTTTGGAATTTCACAAACATCTAAACCATAGGAGATAGAAATAGAAAATTTCTAATAAAGTCAGCATATAACCAGATAGGAAGAGTCACAGAAGCAGCTGCCTTGGTTAGCCCTGACCAACACTTTCTTACAAAAAGCGTTCATTAGTAACATTCATTTATCAACACCAGTGACAATATGTTGATATTTTGTAACGAAGACATGTCCCTGCTATGGTATTCTTGCCAAAAATGAAAAATCTGACTTTAATCAATAGGAAATACCAATCAATAGAACTTAAGGGACATTCTCAAAAATAACCAGCCAGCATACATCAAAATTTCAAGGTATTTAAAAACAAAGACTAAAGAACTGTAGAAGATTGTAGGAAATTAAAAAAAGCATGAAAACTGAATGAAATATGGGATCCTGAAATTTTATCCTAAAACATTAAAAGTAAAAATGGTAGATATATATATATATATATATCATCAGTGAAAAGCTCAGTGAAATTCAAATGTTGATTGTAACTTCATTAATAGTATTTGATTAACCAGTAATGTTAAAGCTATTTAAAGTACTAAAAAAAAAGTTAAAAATTGTTTTATATTCAGCAAAACTATCCTTAAAAAAAGAAAAGAAAAGAAGCCATGACTACCATATATGTCCTATAAGAAACTCAGGAAGAAATCCTTCAGAAATCAGAATCACAGTAAATAACAAGGAACAGAAATTTGAATCCATAAAATTAAATGAAGGCTTCATAAATATACTTACTTCAATTCTCATGTTGTTCATGTTCAGGAAAACCAAATCTTTGTGATATCAGAGTAGCAGTTCCCTAGGTAGGTTAGAGGCAGATGGTATTAAGCATGTGGAGAATTTAAAATTATTTATATGTTTATCTGGATAGTGAATGTGAGTACTTTATTTTGTTGACCAATGAACATGTTTGCACTTTACTCAGGGCACATTTTATTTTTATTTACAAAAATAAGAGAAAACCAAAACCGTCTCTACACACATGAAGAAAGAAATAAGAAGCACCAAATATTTACAGCTCAGCCATATTAAAGAGAAGTGTAACATGCATTGGGAAAGTGCTAAGGAAGTGAAAAAAAAAAGACAGTAAACACAGTAAACATTGAAATATATTTATGTCCCAATCAGGCTGCAGAGATTATTATCTCTACTAGTTTTTCTCAAGCACACAAAATATTTTGTTCCTAGGAAAGGCCCCAACACCCCCGTACATACCATCTTATTTCTACACCACTGTACCCATCAGGGGATTTGCATATTGTTCCACAGGAAGGACCCTCCCTTGTGAGTCTCAGATAAAAGCTCAGCGCCAATCTTGACTTGACTGATCAGGACTCCTCAGTTCTCCTTCTCACAATGAGGCTCTCTGCTCAGCTCCTGGGGCTGCTAATGCTCTGGGTCCCTGGTGAGGACAGAAGAAAGATGAGGGAGGAGAATGGGGTGGGAGGGTGAACTCTAGGGACCACATTGCCGCCCATGAGTGTTCTGTCCTCATGGTAGATGTGCACATCTTGTTCTCCAGGATGGCGAGTGTGACTTTTATATCTGTGTGAGTAGGGCATATGAGGTTTAGATCTGTAAGAATGAGGAAGATTCCAGAACGAATGAAGACCTGTGCTCTGGTGAAGACTCTGACACAAAAAGACAGAATGGTAGAGAGAACTTCTAGAGGCTCTGATGTGCTTTCAAAATACATTTTTATTTTTAAATTATATATTACCAGGGATTGAATTAAATTATAAAAATTGATTTAGTCTGAAATAAATAAAAGAAGAAAAATTATTTTAAAATTGTTTGTACATAACCTTGCACTTCTTTCTCATTATTTCAGGATCCAGTGGGGATATTGTGATGACCCAGACTCCACTCTTCCTGCCCGTCACCCCTGGAGAGCCGGCCTCCATCTCCTGCAGGTCTAGTCAGAGCCTCCTGCATAGTAATGGAAACACCTACTTGAATTGGTTTTTGCAGAAGCCAGGCCAACCTCCAAGGCGCCTAATTTATAAGGTTTCTACCCGGGACCCTGGGGTCCCAGACAGATTCAGTGGCAGTGGGGCAGGGACAGATTTTACACTGAAAATCAGCAGAGTAGAGGCTGAGGATGTTGGGGTTTATTACTGCCTGCAGGGTACACAATATCCTCACACAGTGGTACAGCCCTGAACAAAAACCTCCCTGCTGGAGTGGCCCAGGTGCTCAAATGTGTTGTTTATCTGGGCAGCAGCTGAGCAGAATCTCTGTATGAGAGGAACATGTTGGAGAACTCAGGGCAACAGTTTGCATCTGAGGGTTCTGTCCCATGAGTGCCTCAGTTGTAAGTCAGTCAAAACCTATTCACGGCTCTTTCAGCTGCAACAGCCTTGGCATGGCATATGCCATAGGAAACCAGAAATGATCCCAGTGCCTGCACAGGTAATAGACTGCAATGAGGGAGAGCTGAAGGAAATCTCATTCCAATCCTTGCTGCCTTGCCTGCATTGGGAAATAAACCGGTTAACTGCCAGACAAGCCAGATTTGTTGCACTACTTGTTGAATACATCTTGAGGTTTAGCAGTTTTAAGTATATATTTAGGAGGATAGTATGTGGTAATATTCAAAAAGTGATATTTTTCAACTTTCCTAACTTCTTATTTTTCTCTTTCGCCACTTACCTTCCCACCACATATTGATGGTGGAGAGAACCTTCTGCACAAGCTGTCATCATGAGGAGCTGGGTGAGGGCAATTAGTAAAAATCTTGGATTTCAGCTTCAAAATGGACATTTGTAAATTCATGGGAGATAGAAAATATGAATGCTAAAATTCCTTTATTTGCTTCAATTGAGTCTTGCTGATAGAAAAGGGTAGTTTTTTGTAAATTCTGAATATTAGCCCTCTGTCAGATGGGTAGCTTGCAAAATTTTTTTCCCATTTTGTTGGTTGCTAGCTCATTCTAGTGATTGTTTCTTTTGCTGTGCAGAAGTTGTTAAGTTTAGTTAGATCCCATTTGTCGATTTTGGCTTCTGTTGCTATTGTTTTTGGTGTTTTAGTCATGAAGTCCTTACCTATGCCAATGTTCTGAATGGTACTGCCTATGTTTTCTTCTAGGGTTTTTATGGTGTTAGGTCTTATGTTTAAATCTCCCTCTGGAGTTAATTTTTCTGTAAGGTGTAAGGAATGGGTCCAGTTTCAGCTTTCAGTACATGGTCAGCCAGTTTTCCCAACACCATTTATTAAATAGGGAATCCTTTCCCCGTTGATAGTTTGTGTCAGCTTTGTCAGAGATCAGATGGTTGTAGGTGTGTGACTTTGCCTCTGAGGTCTCTGTTCTGGTCCATTGGTCTATATTTCTGTTTTGGTACCAGTACCATGCTGTTTTGATTATTGTAGGCTTATAGTATAGTTTGAAGTCAGGCAGTGTAATGCCTCCAGCTTTGTTCTTTTTGCTTAGGATTGGCTTGGCTATGTGGGCTCTTTCTGATTCCATATGAAGTTTAAGGTGGTTTTTTCCAGTTCTGTGAAGAAGGTCAATAATGGTAGCTTGATGGAGATATCATTGAATCTATAAATTACTTTGGGCAGTATGGCCATTTTCACAATATCAGTTCTTCCTAACCATGAGCATGGAATGTTTTTCCATCTGTTTGTGTCCTCTCTTATTTCCTTGAGCAGTTGTTTGTAGTTCTCCTTGAAGAGCTCCTTCAGGTCTTTTGTTATTTGTATTCCTAAGTATTTTATTCTCTTTGTAGCAATTGTGTATGGGAGTTCACTCATGATTTGGGTCTCCATTTGTCTGTTACTGGTGTATAGGAATGCTTGTGATTTTTGCACATTGATTTTGTATCCTGAGACTTTCCTGAAGTTGTTTATCATCTTAAGGAGATTTTGGGCTGAGACATTAGGGTCCTCTAAATATACAATCATGTCATCTGCAAATAGAGACAATTTGACTTCCTCTTGTCCTAACTGAATACCCTTTATTCCTTTTTCTTACCTGATTGCTCTGGCTAGAACTTCCAATACTATGTTTAATAGGAATAGTGAGAGATGGCACCCTTGTTTAGTGCCAGATTTCAAAGGGAATGCTTCCAGTTTTTGCCCATTCAGTATGCTATTGGCTGTGAGTTTGTTGTTGATAGCTTTTATTATTTTGAGATACGTTCCTTTGATACCTAGTTTCTTGAGAGATTTTAACATAAAGGGTAGTTGAGTTTTGTTGACGGCCTTCTCTGTATCTATTGAGATAATCACATGGTTTTTGCCTTTGGTTCTGTTTATGTGATGGATTACATTTATAGATTTGCATATGTTGAACCAGCCTTAACAAATTTACAAGAAAAAAACAAGCAACCCCATCAAAAAGTGAGCGGAGGATATGAACAGGCATTTTTCAAAAGAAGACATGTATATGGCCAACAAACGTGAAAAAATGCTCATCATCACTGATCATTAGAGAAATGCAAATCAAAAGTACATTGAAATAACATCTCACGCCAGTTAGAATGGTGCTCACCAAAAAATCTGGAGACAACAGGTGCTAGAGAGGATGTGGAGAAATAGGAACACTTTTACACCATTGGTGGGAGTGTAAATTACTGCAACCATTGTGGAAGACAGTGTGGCAATTCCTCAAGGATCTAGAAATAGAAATGCCATTTGACCCAGCAATCCCATTGCTGGGTATATACTCAAAGGTTTATAAATCATTCTATTATAAAGATACATGTACACATATGTTCATTGTGGCACTGTTCACAATACCAAAGACTTGGAACCAACCCAAATGGCCATCAAGGATAGACTTGATAAATGAAATGTGGCGCATATACACCATGGAAAACTATGCAGCCATAAAAAGGATGAGTTCATGTCCTTTGCAGGGACATGAATGAATCTGCAAACCATAATTCTCATCAAACTGACACAATAACAGAAAACCAAACACTGCCTATTCTCACTCATAAGTGGGTGTTGAACAATGAGAACACCTGTACACAGGGAGGGAAACATCACACACTGGGGTTTGTTGGGGGGTTTAGGGGCTGGGGTTGTAATAGCAGGGGATGGTGAGGTTGGGGAGGGATAACATTAGGAGAAATACCTAATGTAGATAAGGGAGAATGGAGGCAGCAAACCACCATGGCATGTGTATACCTATGTAATAATCCTGCAAGATCTGCACATGTACCCTAGAAATTAAAGTATAAGTTTTTTAAAAGTTAAAAAAATAAGAAAAGAGTAGTTTTTGAAATTTTAAAAGTCAAGTTTCATAAACAGAAATTTAAAGTAGAAGACACAGGTTACAGAATTTACCACTGAGATGACATGGAAAGATGTGAGATTTCTTTCCCCAAAATGTAAGAGTTTGGGGACAGTAGGCAGACTTCAGCAGTGGGAACATGAATGGAGGATAATGGAGGTCAACTATGGTCCAATAACCTGCTCTTCAACTTACATTAGGTACATCGTGGATGTCAGTGACTGTTGGGGGTTGATGATATGAACCCAGAAAGGAGCCCAAACATGTTTCTTATGAGGAATCACAGAGCAGAAAGAATCACTGCCTGGCAACATAGGTCAAGACTACACCACTGCAAGTTTCAAGAAAAATTTAGTTCATCAAGAATGATTTTTAGTTCTGCAATCATCAAATGTTTATTGAAGTTCCTGTGCAAACAGACCTGAGGTTATGTGACTTAATCACAATCAAACAGAAATAACCCAGCAGATGCCATGTGGTTGGGTTCGAGAACATGAATCATGAAGTGACATGCTAACCTGAAGTTCCAATAGTGCTACATTGATTGGGGAGCAGTGGCAATGATGACCAATATATCCATTATTCAGATGTGTACTAAGAATGGTCTGCACAGAACTTGTTAACAACAAAAACTCCATGAGTCCTATGTATGGGGAGTTTCTTCTGAACCAGCACCCATAGACTACGCATGCACTTAAACCACAGCCAGTGTCCATGGAAAACACTGTCTGTGAGTAGAGGCTGCCTTGTGCAACCAAAGCAGCACAACCAAAGGAGATGAAAGCCATCTCCTTTCACAGATGGGTTCCTCTGCCTGTGCCACAGTAGAACATGGGTCCAAATGCCAACTTGGCAAATATGGGAGGGGAACAAAAAGTCAGTTAAGTCAGCTCAAAGAGAAAGGTTTTTCTCACTCTAGAATTTTAGATTACCTAGGCCTCATCCTGTCCACTGTTCTCTGATGTTATAATTTTATACATTTTGTATTTTGTTTTTTTTTTAATTTTTTGCATCTTTTGCAGTGGTTGCTTTAGGGCTTTTAACCATAATATTATTGTATCTGGGAGTGGAGATAACTTTTTCCACTAAATAGTGTTTTAGAAATGGCAATTTTGGTATGAAATTGTCATGAAAAGAATAAATGATTTTCAGTATATAAGTACATGCATTATTTTTACACAATGCAGTCATTACATGAAAATAAACCTTATTCCTGTCTTCTAGTAGTAATTGTATAGAAACATAGTTTGCACAGATGCCACTTAAAATAATGCTCTAAAGTATTTCAAAACCAATCATGACATATGATCCACGTAAAGGGGCATTTGAATCAACAAGACAACATACTCTTTTTTTGTTGAGGAAGTAAACCACATTAAAAATGACTGTGTATTCCAGAATAATGCATTATGTGGTGAGGGAAATTAAAATTGAATTTTTGAGGAGAAATATCCAGAAAAAAATGGATCATGACGAGAAGTTCATAGCACAGACAAAGAATGACAAACCTTCAAAGTATTTTTCTGTATATATTTAAAAGTGGAGACACACATCCATTCAAAATTTGAATGATTACATATTCACAATCACTTCTGTGGGGCCTGGAGATACTGCACATATGACAGTTAGCAAGACACTCACTTGGACCCTGCATTGTGTGATGGCCCCACATACAAATCTCCCAAGGGGGTTCAATCTCTCAGTAGAGCAGGAGCTGCTGGAGTACCCAGAGGACATGTCCACACCAGATGGGCTCAGTTAGAGATGGCTGGAGAGCCTTCCAGGAAGAGGCCATGAGGTTTCAGTCACAAGCACTGTCTCCTCTTCTGTGTAAACAGGGACCAGAGCCCTCCAGGACAATTCTTAGAGCTTCTCCCTTTCTCTCCAGTTAGGGCACTGACACCCCACAGACTCTCCAGGAAGT